CAGCGACATCCCATGACAACCTGTCAGCATTTGCATGCAGTCATGCACCCACCAACCCCAGTCAGTCAGCAACAGACAGATTGAAGATGTTTTTATCTTGAAGCACATTGACTCTGTGCTTTTAATATGAAATGTCATAAATACACTTGACTCTCTCCACGTCCCCCAGTGTCTCTGACCGTCCTGTATTTGAAACTTAAACGTCAAAATAAGACTTCAGGATTCAGGGGAAAGTCTAAACTGTCCACTTTCATGTCTTTCTTCTTGAACGTGGAGCTGCTCTGTCTCGGCCTCATCAACACTTCAGCATTTAAACCACATTCAAAACAACTACGTTCCTCATTTAAGTCAATAGAACACGATCCAGTAATAATCGCAGAACTGGTTTTACTTACCATGCAACATTTAAATGAAATGAATTCCTAACTGCCCTCAAACTACTGAGTCTTGAATAAATAATAAAACTTTATTATCTCATGATTCTTTAAAGCGTTTTTCACGATTCCTTGTTTCTCAGTTTCCTGTGTAATCTGTAATCGTGTCGTCTTTGATTCGTGATTAATCCCACGTCGACTGCGATGCAATAAAACAACATTCATGCAGTAAACATGGTGGGGGATGGAAATGGAAATGAAACACTGTGACCATGCCACTGTTAACACCACCCACCTCAAACACCCAGTGAAAGCACAGAGAGCGCCACGTTAACATTCAAGCAACATGTTTATTGAAATAAAATCTGCTTTTAGCTGTAAAAAAACAACAACAAATCAGAACACTGTACAATAACTTCCCCCGGAGAGGGAGTACATGGATAAGCATGTGCGTGATGGAGCAGAGTTGATATGAGGCCAAGGGGCTTTTAAATCCGACTAGAGTGAAATGTGACGCCTGCGGGTTTCAGTGTTAAAAGGCTAAACATTAACCCAGCAGGAGCGTTAGCAAGCTGCTAACACCGGGGTGAACTCTGCAGAACCACCCGAACAGGGAAACAGTCTGAACGTCTGCTTCACATAAACTGGATGATAATGATGGGAATGAATACGCAGCTGTGTGTGTGTGTGTGTGTGTGTGTGTGAAAGTCTTTGGTTCAGGTATTTAGATGAATGAAGTTTTAAATATGCAGGAGAACAATGAAATGTCCTTGTTAATAAACACACACACACACACACAACACGGTAACGTTGCAACATAAACAGCAGATGGAAAAGCACAAACAAAATAAAGTACTTGACATGTCGTTCACATATATGTACAGTCCCAACATGGCTACCACACCTCAACGTGATTGTCTCCATGGATTTCACAGTGCACATGACAGTTTCATTTTCACGGCCGAGTCCATCAACGTGAAGCCACAAAAAAGAGTCGACGTGGCGTGAAAGCTTGTCACGATCACGCAGTTAATGGCCCCCATCTCCAACACCCCCCCCCTTTTTTTTGTACATTAAATAGAATAGAGCAAGGCACTCTGGGTAAAAAGGCAGGCGCCTGGAAAATTACCTGCCATTAATCTGTGCAAACAATTGACTTTTCAGCCCCGGTGATTGGGAACACGGCAAAATTAAGTCGTATTTCAGCTGAACTGACAGGAGGAGCAGAGGTTAAGAAATGGTTGTGTTTAGTCTTAGTGTACCTTTTCCTTCATCGTGTTTTTTTTACTTCACCCTCGTCCTACACCTTCTCATTCCCTTTCTTTATTTCTCTCTTCACCGCTTGGCTCCATGAATGAGCTGAAATTACCTTAAATTGTTCTGAACTGGATGGAAACACTCTAAAGTGCCGCTCAGTCTGGTTCCTGGGCAAACAAAGCCAAGAAACAATAAAAACGGGTACAAAAAAAAAAAAACCTCAGGAATTCACAGTCACTCTTTGTCACACTTCAACGAGCTGATCAGGCCGTAAAGAGCGGCTTTAGACTTTGAGCCAGCGCTCCAGGAAAAAAAAAATAAAGGAGGAAAAGAAAAACACATTCAGACTAAATGAGGTTGTCAGTGTGAACCTTTCAATGGCTGTACAAAGAAACTCCAGATTCAAAACATTTGTGACTCATAAAAAAAGGAGAAACTCAGAAGCTACTTCATTTAACCCACCGTGAAAAGGTGAACACAGATAAAACATGAAAAGGTGAAATCAAAGACAAATAAAACAAAGGATAAACATATAGAAGTTGAGGATAGACCCGTATGGGATTTCCGATATCAGCAGTGAACCCTTTATTCAGGGTTTTGCATCTTTGTGCAGTTTATCTTTTTAAGAAACTCTACTTTATTAAGAAAATACAAACCAGAAGGTTTTAACACTGCATTAACTGACACCTCGGTCAGTAGAAACCACCCTCGTGTTCTGGATCAGTAAAGTTCATTGAGGAGGCTCTGGTTTCCAAATTCCACTCAAATATCAGCTGGTAAATATCGGAAAGCCCATATTTGGTCTATCCTTGATGTAATCCTTCATGGTGTGAATACTGTGGCATCCATGTGGTGGTGAAAACCAAAATAGAAAACAGAAATGGTGAACAAAAATCAAACCAAATAAAAAAGGGGAAATGGCGGTTTGGAGGTGGGTGCTGTGCAGGGGAATCAGTGCAACTTTGGTGGAAGAATATTGGCTGCGCCAAATAAGTCCCAGCATGACTACCACACCCGGTTGGTCCAATAGATGTCCCTGTTGTACATTGAAGTGTTGGCGTAGTCTCCTACCTGTTTGTTGCTGTATTTGGGCGGGTTGGCCTTGTAGCTGTAATCCGAATATTGGTCGGAGCCTGTGGAGTTGTTGTCCCCTGTTCCCACAAAGGTGTTGGTGGCAGGGAGGTCCTGAACAGCCTGGTGCTTCTTGGAGGCGGAAGGCGACTGTGGCTGCAGTTGGATAGAGGGTAGGGGGGAATTGGAGCGATAGTGTCGCCCCAGATCAGGGCTTCCTGGGGGGTAGTTAAGGGGCAGGTGGATTCTGGGACTGTCGTTGACACTGTCGTTAATGAGATTGAACTTGAGGCCTTTCTGCAGGCTTGCCTCCTCGTCCTCCTCCAGTGGCTTGGCAGGTTTTGGAGCTTTACCCTTTTTGCTCTTTTTCCCTTTGCCATTTTTGGGTCCCTGCTTTGGAGCATACAGGTCCTTGCTCTCTTTCTTGCCGGCCTGATAGCCGCTCTTGGTTTCCTTCTGCAGCCGGTGTCTAATAACCACCACAGCTACAATGACCATAATCACACCAGCGATACCTGCCAGACTGCCATACAAGATGTTGCTGCGCTGAACAAGGGCGTAGTTGGGATCCCCAGCAATGTCCGTGTCTAGAGAGGTGTAGAGGCTGTGTCCGACCAGCGCCTCAATGACAGAAACATTGGACCTGGTATCGTTGACAAACACGTGGACCAGGGCAGTGGTGTGGCGTGGGGGTTTGCCTTTGTCACTGACCCTTACGACAAGTCGGTGCAGTCCATTGTGTTTGCCGGTTAATTCCTTCACCAGCGTTATCTCCCCGCTGCTGGGCGAGATGTGGAACAGGTCAAACGGGTTTCCGCCCGTGATGGTGTAGACCAGCTCAGCATTGGGTCCAGAGTCAATATCCTCAGCCTCTACCACCTCCACACGGGTGTCTGGTTGAGTGACAGGTTTCAAGTAAGTGTAGGAGGAGTTGGCTGGTTTGGTGACATAGGGGGCATTATCATTCTCATCCAGGACATTGATGGTCACACCTACGTAAGAAGATCGAGGAGGTTCACCTGCATCCACGGCTTTCAGACGAAAGGTGTAGGTGCTCTCCTTCTCACGGTCAAAAGAGATGCTGGACAGGATGGTTCCTGTGCCATTCTGGATGACAAACTTGCCATTGTCCGGTTCCACAAACAGCCTTACTCTGGCGTTTTCACCTTTATCAGCATCGGTGACAGTCACCACGCCAACAGGATTGAGCGGAGGCATGTTCTCATTGACAGAGAAGCTGTAACCACTCAGCATAAATTTGGGGTCATTGTCATTACGGTCCAGGACATTAATCACCAATGTAGCAGTGCCGGTTTTGCTTGGGACACCTTTGTCTGCCGCTGCCACGCGGAACTCATAACGCTCGGTATCCTCTCGATCCAACAGGTTCTTCACACGAAGCTCACCTGTGTTGGAGTCAATCTCAAAGAGCCTGGTGGCTGAGTGCTCAATGATGTTATAGGCCAGTTCTGCGTTTGTGCCACTGTCTGCATCCGTTGCCGCGACATTCAGCACCACATCACCTGGCTGGTTTCCCTCTGGAAAGTACACCTCGAGCATCGCAGGGGAAAAGATTGGCGTGTTGTCGTTCACGTCAGTGACCTGGACTTTGAGGGAGTTGGTGCTGGACAGGGCTGGGTTCCCAGAATCCACAGCGACAATTTCAATTCTGTAATCCTTTACACGCTCATAATCCAGTGGGGTAGTTGTCTGCAGGAAGTACTTCCTCTTCCGATCGTTGGATGACTCACTTGCAGGTCGGAGCTGGAATGGGACATCCCCAGCAACTACACATGTAACCACAGCATTTTCCCCCTCGTCACGGTCTGACACCTGGACCAACGCCACTGGGGTACCGATGGGCATGTCCTCAGAGATGTTCGCCACACCATCTTGGTGCGTCACCAAGCCAATACCACGAATCTCGATCGCTGGTGCGTTGTCATTGTGATCCTTGACGTTGATGGTCACCAGGACCTTGGAGCTCTTGGAGTTGGGCCCACGATCTTTTGCAACCACAAAGAACTTGAGGAAGTTCTCTTCCTCACGGTCCACTTGACCTTTGACGTATATGATGCCAGTGGAACGGTCAATGCGCAGAAGCCTCTGAACGGTCTCAGACGCCTGATGAAGGCTGTAGTCAATCTGTCCATTGATGCCGGTGTCTGCATCATTGGCTCTGACCTACAGGGGCAAAAAGAGACGGTTACCTTCTCACATCTTAACACCTTCTGGCTGCAATCATGAATTTATCTCAGAACATGTGTGAAAGAAAGAAGAATTCTCAGTGACTTGGTTCTGGAGATTTAAAGACAGAAACCTCCGACGTAACTTTGTCCGGGTTCCTCTGAGAAATCATCAAAACTAATACACGTGCATCATACTTTTTAAACTTATTTGACCGATTCCTGTCAATGCAAAGTCAAAATTGATGTTTTAGAAGCAGCCTGAACATCCTCGGTTAAATCTATTTGACTGTTTAATATTATTTCAGTCACAAGCATGACCAAAGCAGCCCCACGACACCGTGTTCTCTGCCGTGTGTGAAACATAACAGACGTTCAAAGCGAGAGTAAAAACACCCACACAGCAACATGTAATGGCCATGCAGTGGGTCACCGGCGGGCGGATCAGTGAATGGTGATGTTCCTCCCTTTATTAAAAAGGCCCCGGCTCCTCGGGGTCCATTAGGACGCCGCAGAGGACAGAGTAGCATCGGCCACGATCCGGCTTCACACGCCCACACCGAAGGTAAATGGAGGTAATTAGTCAATTAGGTGGTACGAGCAGTCAGCAGAATGTCACTTAGGATGTACTCATTACGACGCCGTTCTATCTACACATCTAATACTTTTTAATTGCGTTCATTCAACGGCTCGGCTGCTGTGAGGAAATGTAGGTCGGCGTGTAGTTTCCAATGAACTCGTTGTTGAACAGCTGATTTAAATGTCCCAGGTGCTGCTGGTTCAGCTTTTCCTTCACCTGGGACTTACATTAATGTGATGAGGGTTTTTATATTTTAAGGCCATTTTACTCCTTTAAAGCAGAACTGGATCCGAGCCACGTTTCCACTCAGCAAAATCATCTCCTAACATTTAGGTCCTAAAAATATTGGTTTCTTGAAAAACACGAACCTGCCAGTGAGGGGGGTATTCTGGGCTTATTTACACAAACAATAAAACTCATGTTATTTGGGCCAAGGACACAGAACTCTACTATAAACTGAAGTGACCGTGCCAATTTCTGTTAAAGGAATACTTTAATTACACTTATTTGCTTTTTTTCTGCCAAGAATTTGATGAGGAGATACAGCCACCGTCTGGTTAGCTTAGCTTAGCATAAAGACAGGAATCATAGGGAAACTGTTAGCCTAGGTGATGCAGAACATTTAAAGCTTAATAATTATGATGACATATCTTGTTAGTCTATTTCCGAGGTTTTCACAAACCAAAACCTTTTAGCTTTTGTGCTAAATAAACAAATATGATCCAATGATATTTGTCTTTTATTACTGTAAACGTAATAGTTTGTCTTTTTGTTTCTTGGACAACATGTTACACATGAGGACGCCCCCTGTGGGACTATCTGGTCATGATTAATTAATAAACCTGATAATAACCGTCATTAATAAAAACAAGTATCTTCTGTAGTTCTGTAATTTCCACCACCTCATTTAAGACACCAAATACTGTGCGGCCGGATGGACTTTGGGAAAATGTTAGTGTCTTTAATATTTTCATTTTCTGCAATGTAGCCTCCATTTTAATAAAAAATGAACTGAAGTGCTGCAACAAGGTGAAACAGAGAACGTGACGCTGTCATTGTGGGAAAATTAAGCATTTAAATGAAAATTTGAGGAGGAAGTCAGCGCTGAAAAGGTTAAACGGTCGGCAGAGTGTTTGAGGGACGTTCTTTTCACAGACTCCGGCTCACGGTGCTGTCACATAATAAATATCTGGTTTCCTGCCTGCTCAGGATCACAGTGTGACAGACTGTCGACGGCACCCGGGGTGACCGTGGAAGCCACTGAGCCAGGTCAGAGAGGTCGAGGTTAAAGAAAGCATTAAAGTGAAATTATCATTTCTGCTGCCCATTGATTTCCTTTCCTCCGGTCGTGGCTTTGAGTCGCGGACATCACCAAACAGCGGTGAATTATTGACAGCTTCGGAGAATTGTGCATTGAGCTCAGCTCGAGCTGCTGGAGCGTGGTGTCGCTGTGATGAAGCTCGAGCTGCGCTGGCTGCTCTCCAGGTCCAAAGTACAGCAAATATAAACTGAGACTCACTGGTTTCTTCATCAGACCAGAGTCTCTGCAAGTTTGAGCAAACCTCTAATTTCTCTTCTGCTCCGATTGTAAATCAAATCAAACCGTCAGTTTCTTTTCTTCTGGGAGTCTTTTTAGTTTATTCCTCAACAAACAGCTTTCAGACTTTCTGCAGAGGGACAATCTATCACGGTTAACGTCCTGTCTGCTTCATTGTTGACTAAATTACATTATAATTATTTGGTAGTTCAGCGTGGACTCTGCATTTGGGCTGTCAACTAAATATTTAACGTTTTCATCGTCTTGTTTGGGGAATTAATCACGAACGATGTCAGAAAATGATCTGGTCTCTATCGAGCTCGAGACACGAGGAGATGCTTCTTCTGAAAAAGGGACAAAAACAATGTGATGGATTTTTTACAATTGTCTGATCCGTCAATCAACGTTAGAGCATCAGCCAATGAAAAGGCCAAGAAAACCTTTATCTCTTGAACACAATCCGCCTAAATCTGCCAAATAAGAGCAGGTTTCTTTTTTCAGACGAGATATTTCAACGTCTTTGAATCCAAATCTGTTTTTCTGTTGTGATTTATCGAACAGATCTGATGAATCCACGCCCACGTCGTCCTGATGAAGCAGATTCGTTGAGTTTTTGAGTGTTAAACTAAATAAATTATACATCACGGTGTTTATTGTTGACTTTAACTTTTGTTTCTGCATCTTTAATCGAATAAATATTTAATTTGAATAAAAAACTCTTTAACCTAACTCCACTTACAAGCTTTTAATGGAGCTTTCAACTTTGGCTGCTGCTAATTTGGTCATGAATATTTAAAGAGGAAAAAAAAAACCTTAACTCAAGGTCCACTTGCAAATCGACTCAGGAGAGTCGGGAACAGCTTCCTCATCTGCTAATGAAGGTCATGAAAGATGTTGAAAGCTTCAAAAATAATTTATACAAGCAAAAAGTTTAAGAAGAATCTAAAAAAGCAAGTAAAGGAAGTTGAAGTGAGTTTAAACAGTAATTTAATTATTTATAACGTAATCAAGGTGAAATAAAGTGACAAGCAGCTGCCTGGAAGGTAGAAAATCTGATGTCTGGATTTTTTAAAAGGTTCAGTCGCTCAAAATAAAAAAAACCTTGCGACATGCTCCTTTAAAGAGCGAGTCAAGAGGCAGAGATATACACGTCTGCGCCGCCATTGGACGATTTAAGCAGGTCAGGGTTGTCAGTCAGCGACGTCCCGCCGTCAGTCCTCAGAACGCACGTTAGGTGAAATGGATTCTGCAGCTCTCAGAAAAGCAATGAGCCACATCCTGAGCAATAATACCAATAAGCCCCGTGGATAATCTCATGACTGACTCAGATTAAGTCATGCACGGTTCACTCAGGGCTGGCTGGTCGCTCCGCACTCAGGCGGGGAATCGAGCAGCGGCGGATGATACAGCGAGGTGTTTTTTTTGTGTGTGTTTGTTTTGCTGCTGAACCAAACGGAACATTCCCGCTCTGCCGGCAGCCACATCACGTACCGCCGGCCCGCGCCAAGAGCTCAAAGGTGAAGTTGAATCAGTGGTTAATGTGTGACTACACACGGCGATCCCACGCCCTGCTTCACCTCGGCCGCACCATCTGTCTGTACGCACAATTGAGCAGCATGTTATGTGCGGTCGCTGCGGCGTGTTGTCCCGCTCAGTGTTCCAGGGGCCAAAGGTTCCACTGCAGCGTTCGGTGGACACGGGGAAAAGTCTGGATTCACCAACGTGACCACAACTCTCCTTTTTAAACTTTCAACTAGTTTCATGACTGAGACACGAATATTTATCAGTGAACTTTACTCCTCACATGAAAAACAGCTCTCCCCTTAAACTCCCCTTTAAGGGATAAAACACAATCACTGGTTTGTGTCTTTATCGGATTTATCCATATTGATCAGCTTCCTGTCAATCACTTCATCAATAAATACATAAACTCTTATAACATTAGTTTAGTTAAGAATCGAACATTAAGACGTGAGGCACAGAATCAAATCTCGCTCCACCACCCTTTACAAAGACGTTGTATCGAGTATTTCAGTGAATCTCGATGTGTTTCATCAGTCACGTGTCTTGAAAATGACGACATCATGTTAAACGTGCACAAGTCTCATCGGGCTCTACACACCTGAGGTATAAATATGTTTACGCTGCATCAGGTCGAAATGGGTTACGGCTAAAATTCTTGTGGTTAATTAATGCAGGGAACTTTTTAATTATTGTGTTAATGAAGATTATTATTGATTCATTTAAAATAATCACGTTGATGTTTCTGAAGCAGATTTTCTCTTTTCAGAAACTGGAACCTGCGACTTTTTGGATATTTTGCTAATAACAGAACTAAAATGATGAATGTAAATAATCAGTGACTCGGCTGATGCAGTGCACATTGATCCAGTTCACAGAAACCTGAGTAGATGAGCGTGTGTGAATTCTGTACGGACCTGCAGCACGGAGTGACCCAGCAGGCTGTTCTCCGGGAGATCGGCCTCGTAGTGATTCCTCTCAAACTTGGGAGCGTTGTCGTTCTGGTCGGTGACGGTGACCCGCAGCAGGGCGCTGCTCGCCCTCGCCATCTTTCCGCCGTCCACCACCCGGATGTTCAGGTCGTACGAGTCCTTCTTCTCACGGTCCAGGTTGCCCATGACGACCAGCTGCGGCAGCTTCTCGTCCGAGTCCACGGCGACCTGCAGAGTGAAGAGCTGGTCGGCGTCGGGCCCGGTGCTCAGCGAGTACTCGGCCACTCCGTTGGTGCCAGAGTCCTTGTCGGTGGCCATGGGGATGGAGAAGAGGGCGCCGATGTGCGTGTTCTCAGGGATGGAGAGGGAAAGGATGGGCGAGGCGAACTGCGGCGTGTTGTCGTTGATGTCCAGCACCTCGATGCGGCCTTCGATCAGCCGTGGCCCCAAGCCGATGCCCTTCACCATGTCAGTGATCGACACCTCGAACTCCAGGAAACATTTGTCGCCATCCAACACGTTGCGGCATTCGTGCAGGTTCTCGCGGTCGATGGAGATCTCCGTGGTGTAGATGTCGCCGGTCTTGCCGTCCACCCGCAGATACGGGGAGCCGATCTCCAGCTTGTAGAGGTGCCCGGTGTCGGGGAGGCCCTGGTCTGCCGCCAAGCTGCCGATCAGCGTGTTGGGCGGCTGCTCCTCAGGAACTAGATAAACAATATCGGTGGGTGCAGCTTTACAGGAGACCAGCAGGACAACGGCCAGGAACAACAGAACCTCCCACCTCAGAGCCGCCATGTCTCCGCACGACAGCACCGCTCTGAAAGAGACAGACGGAGAAAACAGATCAACATTTGAGCCGGGACACGCTACCATGACCACCGGAAGGTTTGACGACCTGAAGGTGACGCAGCAACGTGTAATGATTTCCTCCTGCTGTCAGTCACCAGACGCTCTGACAGGAAAACAAACTGAGCGCCGCCGCAGACGAGAGGCGGCTTCATGTCATTATCCAGCGTCAGCGTCACATCTACAATCGAACTAATGAAGAAACGACGACGGGTTCTGTGTTCACTGACAGACGACAGGAGGATCAAACCTTTCTGACTGTCATTCAGCCGACAGAATAAATCGACCTCACCACAAAATCTCCAGGTTCTAATTTGACTTACAAATCTTTGGGATATGGTTCTTATCACGTCTGGCATCACTTCCTCCACTTTTACATTTAGGTGCCAAACACATTCCAAACGTCCACAGAGTCGAGAGACGTCCACGTGATGTATTTTTCTATCTATGCAAATTCACAACGCAGTAAAAAAACAGGTTTATCCAAAGTTCATCGACGTTTATTTTAAGGATGACACTGAAACACAAACGTGCACAAGGAGCACGAGGCTCAGTCGAGGCCCAACAGATTATTTTGGAGTAAATCAGGTCACGACTGACTCATCAGACTTAAAACTGTTTGGCTGCGGAAGTTTCCATCACAGAAACATTTAATGTCGTGAACGTTGTCTTTCCTCCAACCAACACACAGACACAGAACATCTGGGCCAACATGAGAAACTCAGGTTTAACTTCATTCAACTCCGATTACATTGTATATAGTTTATCTACTTCCTGTGTTTATTTATAGTCTCTGCTGTGACTCGACAAATTTAACTGACATGGAACTTATGACATTTATAAAATATTAGTAACAAATACTTAGTCCGACGACACATCCCAGAGTAACAGAGGAGAGTGACCGACGAGACGAAGGGTTTAACGTCAAAGTAAAAAAGCATTTGAGTTTGAGAAACTTCGGCGCTCGACAGATTCCGAACCAAAACGTCTTTACTTTTAAAATGTCCAGTGGATTTGATTTATGAACTCATGAGGCTGTTGATGAAATGTAAGACTTTTTAAAACACTTATGTTTCTGATCGGCTTCATTTAAGACATGAATCGTGACGTTCAGCCACGTTGGAGACGGAGACACATTCATTCTGATGTTCTGTCTATATCCAGGAGGTATCAGACTCTTCCTGTCTCCCTGAACAAAACCTTTCTCTGCGTTCATCAGATCAGATTTTCTGACAAACCGACTCTTCACCTGACGTCTGGTGTTCCTGACGCTACGTCTGAGCCACATTCCTCCACACACACACACACACAC